GCACCGCCATGTCAACAGATATTTTCCAAATCTTATCATGTTTTTAATCAAGGTGCTCATGTGATTTGATGCATTTCGCGATATGAGACCCGTTTTATCACAATATAGACCTTGATTATCGATCAGATCGTCTTGGGAGCCACTGTTTTGTTTGAAGCAAATTCAAGTGATACGAGAGGTGGAATCTGATTGGTCTATAGGAGAGGCTTAGAAAGGACATAACTCGTAAAAGCCACTGGTGGCGCTACGATAGAACCCAGGAATTCAAGCCTAGTTCGGCAAGGGTGGAAACTGGACTTTCAAAGTCAATTAACTCTCTTGCCTCGGGAAGATGGGATTTTCGTGACCGCGTATGCCTGATTTTATGACACGATTTTTAGAAGATAGAAAATTTAAGTTCGAGTGGGCGACACATTATCTGAGAAATGTGATCAGGAAATAGGGGTTCCTCAGGGCAGTATTTTATTAGTGGCACTCTTTAGCATAAAAACCAACAGCCTTGCTGAAGGTTTAAATGATAATATTGATGGTTCTTTTGTTTGTTGGTGATTTTAATATATCATGCCGTTGTCAAATATGAATACGATTGAAAGACAGCTACAACTTTGTCTCAATAAAAGACATAAATGGTCTCAAGAAAACGGTTTTAAGTTTTCCCAAGGCAATTGTGTTCATGTTTGCAACAGGGGCGGTCGGGTAGCCAGGTGGTTAAAGCGTTCGCTCGTCACGCCGAAGACCCGGGTTCGATTCCCGACATGGGTACAATGTGTGAAGCCCATTTCTGGTGTCCCCCGCCGTGATATTGCTGGAATATTGCTAAAAGCGGCTTAAAACCATACTCACTCACTCACCCACTTATGTTTGCAACAATCGGAAATTACACAATGATCTAGAGCTGACTGTAAATAATACTCCAATTAATGTAGTCAAAGAAACCACGTTTTTCGGTATTACCTTTGATAAAAAGTTGTCTTTTATACGTAATTTTTAAGAACCTTAAATATAGATGTTTCAAAGCGCTTGATATTTCTAAGGTGGTATCATATGCTGAGCGGGGCGTGTCTGTAAAACTTTGATCAGGTAAAAACTTGTTTATGGCTGCTTTATTTATGGTTCAGCTCGTAAATCATATATCCGAGAACATGACATCATTCACCATCACGGACTTCGGTTGTGTCTTGGAGCATTCGGAACATCGCCCTTTGGCAGTTTGTGTCTGGAAGCAAATGAGACTTGGTCGGTATTGTGAGAATTGGTTGGTGTGAAGAAGAGACTGTGACTATTGGTTGGTGTGTGGAAGGGGCTGTGATTGTATTGGTTGGTGTGTGGAAGGGACTGTGACTGTATTGGTAGGTGTGTGGAAGGGACTGTGGCTATATTGGTTGGTGTGTGGAAGGGACTGTGGCTATATTGGTTGGTGTGTGGAAGGGACTGTGATTGTATTTGTTGGTGTGTAGAAGGGACTGTGGCTGTATTGGTTTTGTGTGTGGAAGAGACTGTGACTGTATTGGTTTTGTGTGTGGCAGGGACTGTGACTGTATTGGTTGGTGTGTGGAAGGGACTGTGATTGTATTGGTTGGTGTGTGGCAGGGACTGTGACTGTATTGGTTGGTGTGTGGAAGGGACTGTGACTGTATTGGTTGGTGTGTGGAAGAGACTGTGATTGTATTGGTTGGTGTGTGGAAGGGGCTGTGATTGTATTGGTTGGTTTTGAGGAAGGGACTGTGACTATTGGCTGGTGTGTGGAAGGGACTGTGACTGTATTTGTTAGTGTGTGGAAGGGACTGTGGCTATATTGGTTGGTGTGTGGAAGGGGCTGTGATTGTATTGGTTGGTGTGTGGAAGGGACTGTGACTGTATTGGTTGGTGTGTGGAAGGGACTGTGGCTATATTGGTTGGTGTGTGGAAGGGGCTGTGATTGTATTGGTTGGTGTGTGGAAGGGACTGTGACTGTATTGGTTGGTGTGTGGAAGGGACTGTGACTGTATTGGTTGGTGTGTGGAAGGGACTGTGATTGTATTGGTTGGTGTGTGGAAGAGACTGAGACTGTATTGTTTGGTGTGTGGAAGGGACTGTGACTGTATTGTTTGGTGTGTGGAAGGGACTGTGACTGTATTGTTTGGTGTGTGGAAGGGACTGTGACTGTATTGTTTGGTGTATGGAAGGGACTGAGACTGTATTGGTTGGAGTGTGGAAAGGACTGTGACTGTATTGGTTGGTGTGTGGAAGGGATTGTGACTGTATTGGTTGGTGTGTGGATCACAAAAGACTCTGGCAGGCTGTATCAATGTACATATCACAAAATGACATAGTTCTTGTATTTCAAATAAAAAGGTTAAAAAATTTGAACATTATTTAGGTACCGGTCATTTACTTTAGGTAGTACGGGGGCATTCAAAAGTCACTTGTTATACAATGTTATATAGTTTATACTATACAATATTATACTATATACAACTTAAACACCTGTCATCGTATCCCAATTGCGTTGACTGATGCTCATGATATCAATCACTGGACTGTCTGGCCCAGACTCGATTATTTACAGACCGCCGTCATATAGCTAGAATAGTGCCGAGTACGGCGTTAAACAAGAAACAAACAAACAAGCAAACAATTTACATTGTACATTGCACTGACCAAGTAAATATGAGAGTAGAGTGTAACTGACCAGTAAAACCACATAAAATGTTTGGCAGTTAATAAAACGCCATGCATTCAGACCTGTACACGCGGTGCGTAATTGGCTCCTCGCTACTGAGACAAGCGCATGCCAAGAACGAGACTAGTTAACTGGCGCCGTTGATTGAATAGCATAAACCTTATCCCTTCTGGGGGTCAAGTACGATCAGAATGTGTATACATCAGTACATATCCCCCATGAAGGGAAGGTCGGAATCTTTCAACGGCCCACACCTAGCATAATTATTCAAACACGGTGTTATTGAAAGTGACGGGCTCGGTAGGCTGATGACGTAATGCTCAAGAAGCCATGCCTTTAAACCTGCTATTGTGGTGTGGCGTCCCTGGGGCACCGGACTGAGGGCGTCATTCGTATAATCCCTTGAGGACCCTTCAAGAGCGACTTGCAGAGACTGACAAAAGTTTCTCCGAAGGTCTTGCCAAATGTCTACAAACGACTTGCGATATAGTGACTTCTGTGTTCAAGAAATGCTGTAATCTTATTCACGTTTGATAACAGATGTAAGGAATTCCCCTGAACGTGAACACCTGGTGTCATCACGAATCTTCAGTAGACAGTTTACTTATCACCGATATTTTGCCTTTTAGGCCTGATGGAATCTGTTTCAGCATATAATCGAAACTGGTTATTTTCTGCCTTAAACTGGTTATTTTCTGCCTCAAACTGGTTATATTTTATATTTATGAGGAAACGCATATATCACTTAGAAAAATAGGTGACAGGAAGATATAAAGATTTTTTATGCGCCTTTGACTTTGAAAATGCTTTGCACGGCTATTGGTATCCCCGGCAAGATATTTGTTTTAACGTAATGTGTGAATCCAAAAGTAGCATTCTTAACCCGGTCATGACGCAATGCGTACTCAGCTCGACGCCCTGGGGAGAGTAGTTTTAATATATCTTTTTGTGAACCGTGTATCGGAGAAAGTAGGTTCCAGCATAGTTGTTTGAATATTTGTAACAACTAAATATATATTTACAAAAGGTATTGTAAATATTAAAATACATAATGGGGAAAAGACTATGAATATAGTAACCAGATCCCCAGACTAGCATCTAGTCTCTGAAAAATGAGAACATTTTATAGAAAAAAAACCAGTTATCAAATTATCTTGACAAAATATTATAAAAAGGTTCCCAGAGACCCTCTCCATTTACTGCAGTAATCTAGACTTGCCAACTAGTATAGACTTGTGTGGGCTATATTGGATATATCTTAATAAAATACAATAAGAAGGTGCTCGGAGACTCTGTATGTGTCACCCGTCACATGAGCTGTGTATATACAGACATTGGACATATAATGTAAAAGTAACACCAAGCCATGAGGCTTATTAGACACAATAAGACTCTCTATATAAAACATAAGGATACCGTTCGTAAACTGCGTGTTTTTTAATCTTCATAAAATGGATATGATATAAAAAATGTAACTCATCTTCAATAAGTCTGTTATCAGACGACCCATGAAAATCCTGGTAGGGAATAGGTCTTCAGCAACCCATGCTTGTCCCCCATGAAGATCCTGGTGGAGCACCCCCATGAAGATCCTGGTGGAGCACAGGTCTTCAGCAACCCCATGCTTGTCGAAAAAGGCAACTAACGGGATCAGGTGCTTGATGCATGCCATCGTATCCCAATTGCGACTGTTTAAGACATTTTATTAGGCTGTTTTAAACATTGTGCATACATTCTGTCCAGAAAATGGGTCGGTGTTTGTTGATATGAATTGATCACTGAAAAACGCACGTTTGAAATTTGAATATTCACGTTGAGCGTTAACATTTTAACAGAAACGCTTTAGTCCAAACACTCCCGCATTTATGACACGGGAGTATGGCTCGCTAGTAATCAGCGATTAGTATTACTAATTATCAGCTTGTTAACCCCATAACTGATCTTTTCACCCACGCTGAAATGAACAACACTGTTATCGCTTCGGCTACCGTTGTCGAAATACCCATCATTTCCTCTGCACTGTTTACATAACGCAACTCTTATACCAAGGACATTTCTGTCCATTGTGCAAACGCATGGTCAACCTATTGTCCGGCAAATAATAGACACCGCATGACCAGGCAAACACAAACATCAAAACATGACCTCTAAATGCATGTCAACCTGGCGCCAAATATATATTGCCAGATATTTGAGTGTTACTTGTTTCTAGTAAGCGTAACCTGTCCACTTGTCACACATCGACAGATAAAACATGTGCTCTAGGCGATTCGCTATAGCTCAATACTCTACTGCTATCTCGCGCCAATGACATCTTAGATGTATCTCTCTGCCATAGGCCGCTCTACCATGGGACGAGTCAAGCTGTATGTTTATTCAGAGGTAAATATGATAACTTTGGACTGTTTGGTTGAATTTACTGATTTACGTTGCTTTTGCTTATCCAGCTGTCAGTGGTGAAGGGTGAGTTGTTACAAAACCGCTGTTGTTGTTCTCGTTGCTGTGAATTGTTTCGGTGTGGGTTGCTTCTCATGTTTTTTTCACGCACGTTTGAGTATTTAGCCATTTGCTAAATGTTTCGTTTTTTTCGTTATGATTCTGTATTTTTTACATCTTTTTTTAACCCGTATTTTTGGAGGTTGCGAATTACTAACAATTTTGTATATAATTTTACGATCATAATTTGATAAAATATCTTTATTAGAAAATATGTTTTTTATCTGTTAACAGTAGCTACTTAATTATGAATATAACGCCAACATTCCTTTTATGGATATGATTTGTTTTTTGGGCGTATGTTACAGTGTTGACTGCATATCTATTACAGTATTACTGTGTTCTGAATGTATACAGTTGACACACATGTACGATCTGTCGACAGGGGTCCAAAGGTTGAACCTGGATATGATCAATTGGTCATAGCGGGTCACGTTTCTTAACCTCTGACCCCGTTGCTGTCAATCATCTCACTCACTGACGTAGTCGTTTGCCTTATATGGATGTCGTAGATGAAGCGACATGCAGCTCCGATTTGTTTATGATGTAATTGCCTGCTTAGCATCGTCTCCCAGACACGTATCATCGTCTGTGAAGAATATTGTTGGTGGTCCACACGTCCATCGATCTATTCAATCCATCTTTTCTTTCTATCCTCCATTCCATTTTTGATTTCTCTCCTCCATTCTATTTTGTCTTTTGATCCGCCATTCCATTTATTCTTTCTATCCTCCATTCCATTTATTCTTACTATCCTCCTTTCCATTTATTCTTTCTCTCCGCCATTTCATTTATTCTTTCACCCCTGAAGATCCGGGGTAGAATAGGTCTTCAGCAACCCATGCTTGCCGTAAAAGGCGAATACGCTTGTCGTAAGAGGCGACTAACGGGATCGGGTGGTCAGGCTATATGACTTGGTTGATGCATGTCATCGATCCCAATTTCGTGGATCGATGCTCATGATGTCAATAACTGGATTGTCTGGTCCAGACTCGATTATTTACAGACCGCCATCACATAGCTGGAATATTGCCGAACACGGCGTTAAACAACAAACAAACATTTATTCTTTTTATCCTCAATTCCATGTATTCTTTCTATCCGCCATTCCATTTATTCTTTCTCTCCGCCAATTTATTTATTTCTATCCCCCTTTCCATTTATTCTTTCTATCCTCCATTTCATTTATTCTTTCTATCCCCATTCCATTTATTCTTTCTATCCGCCATTTCATTTATTCTTTCTATCCCCCATTTCATAGTTTTTTTATCCTCCAGTCCATTTATTCTTTCTACCCTCCATTCCATTTATTTTTTCTATCCACGATTACTTTTATTCTTTCTATCCTCCATTTCGTTTCTTTTATCCGCCATTCCATTTCTTTCTATCTGCCATTTCATTTATTCTTCCTATCTTCCATTCCATTTATTCTTTCAGTCCTCCATTTCATTTTTTCTTTCTATCCGCCATTCCATTTATTCTTTCTATCCTCCATTCCATTTCTTCTTTCTGTCCTCCATTCCATTTATTTCTTCTTTCTTTTTTTCCATTTGTTCTTTCAATCCGCCATTCCATTTATTCTTTCTACCCGCCCTTCCATTTAGTCTTTCTATCCTCCATTCCAATTGGTCTTTCTATTCTTTTTTCCATCTATCCATACCATTTAACATCTACCTTTTCTTTCACCCCACTCTATTTATAATTACAATGTATCTACTCCATTCTTTTCATCATCGATGGTGTCCCATTTTGTGTAATTGAACATGCTGTTATATTCGTGATACATCTGTTTAATAAAACTTGAAGTATATACACATGGTATACATGCTGAATAAAAAAAAAAAAAAATGAACCGTTAGAAATCACAATGTCATTGCATCCGTTTCTCGATCACGATCAAAGTTCAAGTTTTCGATCGAGAATGATTGGTTGTTTTTAAATAACGTGTAAAGTGCTCACAGTTTCAAAGCAACGATTTTATCACTTGAACCAAAGTACAAGTTTTTCAATGTTCCGTTGGTGTTGTCACGTAATCTCATACTCTAATATGCAGCCGTTCTTATCGCAATCGGGACTTTCCCCTCTGCGCGAATCCCTGACGAAACTTGTGAGACATAGCGCATCGGTGAGAGCTAAAAATAGATCAAGGTTTTCCAAAGCCATGCGTGCTCCCAACATGGAATTAGCAGGGTGAAGGTCGTTGCGGGGTCATCATGCATCTAGCACGTTGGCTATTACAACGGGTTCGTCTTGGGGCAGATTAGACCAGCAAGGTGAAGGTCGATTGACTGCCGCTCATAAATAGATGTTGTTGGTAGTACAGCTTTATATTTGTTGTGGCTAGCGGCGGAGGAGGTTGTCTATTCTTGTGGATATTTCTCCCACTGCAACAGAATGAAATCGGGTTTAAACCCATTGTGCGGGTCGGATGTGAGAGTTGATACGCTTTGCCGACATTCGGAGACAATGCGGACCCACGTGAACGACAGTGATTCGTGTTCGAAACAGGTACTTGGATGTTTCTGTCTGATAATGTGGTTGATTGGGATTTTCTTATAGTTATATGTTGTTTCGATGTTGTATTGTAATACATTCACGTATCGACGTATTTTCATTTATGGTTCGCAAACCCTGCATCTTTTAAAAACGTTATTCATTTCCCGACATGCTTCTCTGCTGTTCATACTACAGTTAGGACCAAAACGTTTTCATGTTTCCATTACAAACAGGTTGTCATGCATTTGTCAGCTTGCACATAGAATCTACGCTTAATATGTAAATATGCACTGCGATATTTTTGTTGACCACAGTTTTAGGATTACACACAGGGTATAATTAAATACAACACGGCGTGGAAAGAAATACACATTTTGTCATAGTCTATTTATACATGCTAATTATAATTTTAGACACGATTTGCGTTCCGTTAAATGTATGTAGACAAACGTTAGTGTCCATCTGAAATTACGGGTTTTATTCAATGGCAATACCACTATATCTTGCTGTGTGCCCGCGTTGATGGCCCAGTCAAGCGTTGGCTCGTTTTGTTTTCCCCCACGTGAGGGAATCGTGGACTGCTCATGCAAAACATGCGTGCACGGAAGGCAAGAGTTTGTCGTTCACACCACCAAGATCCGGTTTCGCCTGAGGGAATGCACCCTCGGTGTTTTGTTCCCAAACCCCAGAAAGGTGCAGTCAGTTTATCCGATTATAGGTATTGAAATCAACACAATAGAACAACCGCTTTCCCGTCAGCTGATGGGGTAAACAAAGGGAAGTAATTCATACCTACATTAACATATTGTATTGGTTTGTCTCTGAAGATGGAAATGTGTGCTCGAATCAGATGGGGAGAATTTATTGAATGTTCAGTGATTTCGTTTTAGATTAGATTTCTAATTATTTTATTTTTTTCAGAAAACGTCAGACGATGAACCCCAGTTCTTAGGGACAGAATCGATCTCCAAGCTCCTGTGTCATTGTGCTCGAGAGTCCACATCTCCCCGATATCAGAAGAAAGCAATAAGAAACTTTACCAAAATGAATTCAATCAGTAAATCGTTTCAAGACGAATCCAAACCCAAAAAGGACACTCCCGCAGTGAAGGGCATATTGACTTTGTTTTTTTGTATCGTGTATGCAGCAGTGTTATTCATAATGGCTGCGGTCCTGTCGAGGGTGGCATCATCATTCGGAAAATCAGGTTGGTCGAGTTTTGCGAATAAATGTTAAAACATTCTTATCCTAAGATACGTGTTAATATATGACTAAATCACAAAGAGTACATTACATTATGGGCAATCAATAGGGAAAATAATTCAAATTATTTTAAATATCAATTTTAATGTTGTTTGTTTGTTGTTTAACTTGCATCAACAACCGATCCCGTTAGTCGACTCTTTCGACAAGCAAAATGGGGAGTTTTTATTTGAATGTGAGGGAAACTGTACATTTAAATTAATAAACTCGAATATCATTTGGAACTATTCAAACCATCAATGCATGTCGCCACTGAAGTTAGTTTCCCATTTTAAGGATACGGGTGGCTAAGACGTCGCTTGTCCGCGCCAGGATCCGCTGCTCGTAGGTTAGAATGTCAGATTATGATCCTTAGTCTTGAGTCATTGCTTTAGTCCAATGAATGTGGATGTCTTTGATCGTTCTCCCGTCCGGTTGACATGCTGAAATATAGCTTGAAGCAGGGATAATTCAATTCCTCCATTTTAAGACTAATACGCTTTAGTTTCGTATATTGGGACACATACATTGCAAACTGTTCATTGTATTTATACCATGACCGTCTTGTTGCAGCTGCCAGTACGCCAGGTGTGCAAATTCAAGTGTGGGAAACAGACACTAAGAAACACATGGAAGTGCGACAGAACCGTCTCGCCCACACGAGATGGGGACAGTAGTCTCCTTTCACCACATCCATGTCGGATAGGGCAGACTTTATGTGACGAAAACGTTATGAGGTGCGTGTGTCACAAGGGAGGTGACTCTAATTGTTTTCCCTTGAAGGGCAGATAACCCAACACAAACGTCACGTCACTTCGTCCAAAGGGCATCTCAGGGACTGAAAGACATTCGTTGTTCTTTGGGACAAACTGTGCTTTTCGGAGAGGGTTATTTGTGCTTATATTTTTGCAGTTGTGACATTGACGTTTTTTGCTTTCATGTGACAATGGCATTTATGATGGAATCGTGGAGAGAAAGAAGTATGGATGAGAGTGCTTGGGTATTGACTAGTTATGAATGGGCATTGTTTGACTGTTTAGTTGTTTTTCCGAGAGGATGGCCTGTGATACTGAAATTATGATTGACGTCAAATACAGTGCTCAAAGTAGTGCAGTACATCTCACTACACCTTCGAATTCATTTCATGCATTTCTTACTGACTTCGTGAAGACTTAGTCATACATTGAAATCTAAAGTACACTTCTCAGTGAACGCGACTTGTGATCTCATTATGACGGCCATGAGGTCGTTGGCAACACTTTTTGACGGTTTAGCAACGAATGATACAGGGGACTGCAGTATTTTTATAAAAAAAAATCCAAATTGCTTAAACTACACTTCAGTCAATCACGAACTAATATTTAAATTTCCAAATTTGATAATATATGAATTACCTGTATTATAAATACATGTAGTAAAAGAATTGTATATACTCTTTCATCATTAGGGCATGGCGGTTTCATAACCGAATTATGAACAACTTAAGAGGGACACGTTACATTGTCATGAACGTAAACTTGCTGCATTTGTCGTAAAATGTATGAAATAAAATCTAAAATATAAGAATGTGTTGTTTTAATATTTCTTTATTTCTTTGTCTCCTATGATCCTGACTGATTCAATTCCCGACATGGGTACAATGTATCAAGACCATTTTTGGTGTGCCCCGCCGTGATGTTGCTGGAATATTGCTAAAAACGGCGTAAAGTCTCTCACTCACTCACTCACTCACTCACTCACTCACTCACTCACATGTCATCGATCCCAAATGCGTGGATCGATGCTCATGATATTAATCACTGGATTGTCTGGTCCAGACTCGGATTATTTACAGACCGCCGTCATATAGCTGGAATATTGCTGAGTGCGGCGTTAAACAACAAACCAACCAACTCACTCACTCACTCACTCACTCACTCACTCACTCACTCACCTCTTCACTGTCCATGGATCCTGTGGAGTTTCTGGTCAAAAGAGGCGATACATGGATCCCGGTGCTCGGTTTCATGCAATGACATAACGGAATTACTGTTGAACACGGTGTTGAGTTAACTACACTTAAAGACGAGCCTGTTATAATTACCCTATCACGATAATAGATATACCACCCAACTAATGGGTTATCAACGGGAGTAAGACACAAGCAGCTGTTTCTGTACACTTTACGGTTGTGGAACGTTGAATATGGACGAACACATGCTCGGGGTTGCACCGAGGTTGTAGACCCGTGAAGATCCGGGTAGAATACGTATTCGGCAACCCATGGTTGCCGTAGAAGGCGACTATGCTTGTAAGAGGCGACAGACGGGATCGGGTGGTCAGACTCGCTGACTTGGTTGATGCATGTCAACGTATCGCAGTTGCGTGGATCGATGCTCATGATGTCAAGAACAGGATTGTCTGGTCCAGACTCGATTATTTACAGACCGCCGTCATATAGCTGGAATATTGCTGAGTGCAGAGTGAAACAACAAACAAACAGACAAACCGAGGTGGTAAACGTTTAAAGACTTAACGTTGGTCTTTTCCATATCAAGCTTGCACGTCGCGTTATTACTGCAAAACTCACTCACTCACTCACTCACTCACACCCCTCTCACTCACTCACTCACTCACTCACTCACTCGAAAGATTTACCATAATTCCTTATATGTTCAAGTGAGGTATTGCTTAACATTCCCAGAGGGCGGTCGGGTAGCCTAGTGGTTAAAGGGTTCGCTCGTCACGCCGAAGACCCTGGTTCGATTCCCGACATGGGTACAATATGTGTAACCCATTTCTGGTGTTCCCCGCCGTGATATTGCTGGAATAGTGGTAAAAAGCGGCGTAAAACCATACTCAGTCACTAACATTCCCAGAACGTATTTGAGACAAGTGGAATTAATACCATCTGCATTCTCAAATACATAAAGGATTTGCTTGATTTTGGCAGTCGTGGAAAAGAATCAAGTTCATTTCTATCAGAACATTTTATTTTTACCCCCGGTTTGAAAAACGAGGGGATACTAGTATATCGATCACCATGTTCGTCCATTATTCAGCCGGCCGTTTTTCGTTTCCGGAGCAGAACTTCAAAACCGTTATATATTTCTTGTTTATTCTTTTGGGGAGTTTTGTTCTTTATTTTCATGACACGTTGGATTTTACTGAAAATGAGGGTAGTGCACGTTTCCGGAGCAGAACTATAAAAACGTTGAATATTCTTGTTGAAACTTGCTATACAGATCAGTCTATTGGCTACGTGACCTGTTTCTTAATACACATAAATCGGAATTTCTGCTTGGATTGGCAAAATCAAAACAGGAATCTGGTCAAGAAGTATACCTTAGCTTTCAGGTCTATCCATGATCTGTATTCGTTCATACGTGGTCAAATAGCCAATCCCCATCCCCTGAAGTACCCACGTAAATTATAACAAAAGAGACCAGTCAAACCGCTTCATATTTAGACCTATGTGTAACGATTCAGATTGACAAATACGACTATCCACACGACTGGATGGCAAGAGGGTTGTCTTCAACTGTGCAATAGTCAACTTTCCCTTAATGTCGAACAATATTAGAGCCTTTGGTGTCCACGTTGCAAAACCTACAATCGAGAATGCTTTTTCTAAAATGATTTCAGAAAGCGGCAGGCGCTTCTTGCTCAAAAGTCAATTGTTTGGTCCAGGTTACAGCATGGCTTCAGTAAATCTTTTAAAACGTTTTATTTTTTTTATTTTTTTTTTCCATCATATTTTACGTTTCAATATCATACATAGAATGTGCAGGGATTTATTGTGACATTATTGGCATGTATGTAGCATGGACAGATCATATATCATCGTTATACAGAGTTTCTAAATAATACATGTGGAGAAGACCAGAACATTTTAAAACGTTTTATGGTAGACACGGCAAGATTTCCAAATCAGTGACAAATGAAATCCGATGAAATATTCGACAAAATTCCCTACTTTGACATGCTGCCTTGTATGTTTGAGCTGAACAGTTGACTTGCCTGTGGATGTGTTTGTGATGGGTGTCACGGTTATATCCCATTAGTTAGACGTCCCATTAGTTAGACGTCCCAATTGTTAGACATTTCTATTTAGGCAAAGAGGGAATATACCTACAGGTGTAATGGATCAGTCCTAATTAGATTAATTATAATATTAAAGTATCTATTCAAAGCTGCTTTGCTTTGTTTGTCAGATCTTATCTGGACTATTCCATTTTAAAGTCTGAGGTAACAAGCATAAGGATTAGTGTGCACTCAACCGTTTAAAGTGTTGTTATAAGCTGTCTAACTATTGGGACGTCTAACTAATGGGAGGACACCGGTGTCACCAGTGGGGAAGGATACGCTCAGCTTTTCGCGAACAAATAATAGTCGGAATCGAATAACGGACTGTTTTTCAGCAGATATTTATAATGATTATGGAAATGAACCTAGTTTTCAAAATAGGCACTTGGCATTAGACTACCTGCAGTTTTTAACCATCCCTTTGATTTGAGATTACATAGAAATGTTCAGTACGCTTCCCTGGACTAAACTGTATAGACCTTTCATGTGGTAGGTGACCCGTGAAAAGCCGGGTAGAAAACCGGTCTTCATCAACCCATGCTTGCCGTAAAAGGCGACTATGCTTGTAAGAGGCGACTGACGGGATCGAGTGGACAGGTTCGCTGACTTGGTTGATGCATGTCATCGATCCCAATTGCGTGGATCGATGCTAATGATGTTAATCACTGGATTGTCTGGTTCAGACCGCCGTCGTATAGCTGGAATATTGCTGAATGCGACGTTAAACAACAACAACAACAAGAAGTATGTAGTAGGTGTTGAAGAAAGCTTTTTCAAACTTGGCTTTGTTCCTGCGCTGTCGCTTTAATAAAAAAACCCGAAGATGTGCGATACCGAATGAACAAAATAGATATTTTACTGTCGCTTCAAGAAGTCGTGTTTACCTGTTCGATTGACAGCAAACAACACTATCGCAGCGTCTGCACAGTAAGTAATGTTATTTTTGGCGGACACCCGTGAAAATCCGGGTAAGAATAAGTCTTCAGCAACCCATGCTTGTCGTAAGAGGCGACTAACGGGATCGGGTGGTCAGTGTCGCTGACTTAGTTGATGCATGTCATCGTATCCCAATTGCGTGGCTCGATGCTCATGATGTTAATCACTGGATTGTCTGGTTCAGACCTGATTATTTACAGACCGCCGTCATATAGCTGGAGTATTGCTGAGTGCGGCGTAAAACAACAACAAAAACAACAACAAGCATGTCGTTTGTGTTCAGTGTCGCTGACTTGGTTGATGCATTGGATTGACCAGGACATAAATATAATGTCTCATGAATGAATGTTTGTAACTGGACTGACCAGGGTATAAATATAATGTCTCATGAATGAATGTTTGTGACTGGACTGACCAGGACATAAATATAATGTCTCATGAATGAATGTTTGTAACTGGACTGACCAGGGTATAAATATAATGTCTCATGAATGAATGTTTGTGACTGGACTGACCAGGACATTAATATAATGTCTCATGAATGAATGTTTGTGACTGGACTGACCAGGGTATAAATATAATGTCTCATGAATGAATGTTTGTGACTGGACTGACCAGGACATTAATATAATGTCTCATGAATGAATGTTTGTGACTGGACTGACCAGGATATAAATATAATGTCTCATGAATGAATGTTTGTGACTGGACTGACCAGGACATAAATATAATGTCTCATGAATGAATGTTTGTGACTGGACTGACAAGGATATAAATATAATGTCTCATGAATGGATGTTTGTGACTGGACTGACCAGGATATAAACATAATGTCTCATGACTGGATGTTTGTGACTGGACTGACCAGGATATAAACATAATGTCTCATGACTGGATGTTTGTGACTGGATTGACCAGGACATAAATATAATGTCTCATGAATGGATGTTTGTGGCTGGACTGACCAGGACATAAATATAATGTCTCATTAATGGATGTTTGTGGCTGGACTGACCAGGACATAAATATAATGTCTCATGGGTGGGTGTTTGTGGCTGGACTGACCAGGATATAAATGTAATGTCTCATGAATGGATGTTTGTAATTGGATTGACCAGGACATGAATATAATGTCTCATGCATGAATGTTTGAGACTGGACTGACCAGGATATAAACATAATGTCTCATGAATGGATGTTTGTAATTGGATTGACCAGGACATGAATATAATGTCTCATTCATGAATGTTTGTGACTGGACTGACCAGGATATAAATATAATGTCTCATGAATGAATGTTTGTGACTGGACTGACCAGGACATAAATATAATGTCTCATGAATGAATGTTTGTGACTGGACTGACCAGGATATAAACATAATGTCTCATGAATGGATGTTTGTGACTGGATTGACCAGGACATAAATATAATGTCTCATGAATGGATGTTTGTGGCTGGACTGACCAGGACATAAATATAATGTCTCATTAATGGATGTTTGTGGCTGGACTGACCAGGACATTAATATAATGTCTCATGAATGGATGTTTGTGACTGGACTGACCAGGATATAAATATAATGTCTCATTAATGGATAATTGTGGCTGGACTGACCAGGACATAAATATAATGTCTCATGAATGGATGTTTGTGGCTGGACTGACCAGGATATAAACATAATGTCTCATGAATGAATGTTTGTGACTGGACTGACCAGGACATAAATGTAATGTCTCATGAATGGATGTTTGTGACTGGACTGAACAGGACATAAATATAATGTCTCATGAATGGATGTTTGTGGCTGGACTGACCAGGACATAAATATAATTTCTCATGAATGGATGTTTGTAATTGGATTGACCAGGACATAAATATAATGTCTCATGAATGAATGTTTGTGACTGGACTGACCAGGACATAAATGTAATGTCTCATGAATGGATGTTTGTGACTGGACTGACCAGGACATAAATATAATGTCTCATGAATGAATGTTTGTGACTGGACTGACCAGGACATAAATGTAATGTCTCATGAATGAATGTTTGTGACTGGACTGAACAGGACATAAATATAATGTCTCATGAATGAATGTTTGTGGCTGGACTGACCAGGACATAAATGTAATGTCTCATGAATGAATGTTTGTGGCTGGACTGACCAGGACATAAATATAATGTCTCATGAATGAATGTTTGTGACTGGACTGACCAGGACATAAACATAATGTCTCATGAATGGATGTTTGTAAAGTATGGGTGATGTTTTTTCTTTCTCTTACATGCTTGACTGAAACATTCCGAAACAAGTCGCTGCGCACAAATAAATAGATTTAAGCGATAAGAAAGGATGGGAAAGTTGGGTAGATCAGACAATGTCGTATCAATGTTAAGCGTTCATAAAATATACACGTACAAACTGATTTCAAACAAGATTCTTCCGGGCTCAAGCGATCGGTAACATTCCAACGAAAGACATGCGATTCTCTGAACAAATGGCAGTTTTTTTGTAATGCTGCTTGAAAAGAAATTGTCACCTTTGATTATAATTAGAGAGAGAGAGAGAGAGAGAGAGAGAGAGCGAGAGAGAGAGAGAGAGAGAGAGAGCGAGCGAGAGAGAGAGAGAGAGAGAGAGAGAGAGAGAGAGAGAGAGAGAGAGAGTTCTCTTTAGAACATATGGATTACATTGATCCGTGACCGACCATGTAGTGACCGTCTCGAAACATGTCCATCTAAAGAGAGAATAATGTGGTGTAGCTACAGAATTGTCACAGACAAGTTTAGATATCCCCATATTGACCCCCGTGGATACTGGGGCATCAATACTTAAACTTGCGGAGAAGATATCGTAAACATTTTGAAATTTTTGGGCCTGATTGTCTTGTGCTCAGGTGTGAGGTGGTTAATGGTTCTAATCGTGCTCCTCGTCGTCTACAAACCATTTCATTACATTTGGGATAAGCATGCTGAAAATCATCCAAAACATCAAACACAAAGTACATAGGCAGTACTAAAGCCAACATAACCCAAGTCGTTTCGATGTAATAAAAGTTGTCACACGAATAATGTAAACATAAATTGATAGTCGCAATTCAAGTCATTAATATGTTCAAATATGTGTTTCGATGTTCCTTTCTGCCCCAAGGCCGAGTTGACCATACATTAGCCTTGGGCTATATATAAATGCCCCTGAATGCACCGTCTTACGTAGGTTTATATATAATTAACCCCCCACTGCTTACATACAGGTCTGTGCAACCCTTGTATATGTCTCTGTAATAACATACTATGTGTGTGTGTGTGTGTGTGTGTGTGTTTGTGTGTGTGTGTGTGTGGTGGTGGTGTGTGTGTGTGGTGGTGTGTGTGTGTGTGTGTGGTGTGTGTGTGTGTGGTGGTGGTGGTGGTGATGTGTGTGTGTGGTGGTGTGTGTGTGTGTGTGTGTGTGTGTGTGTGTGTGTGTGTGTGTGTGTGTGTGTGTGTGTGTGGTGTGTGTGTGTGGTGGTGGTGGTGGTGATGTGTGTGTGTGGTGGTGGTGTGTGTGTGGTGTGTGTGGTGGTGGTGTGTGTGTGTGTGTGTGGTGGTGGTGGTGTGTGTGTGTGTGTGTGTGTGTGTGTGTGTGTGTGTGTGTGTGTGTGTGTGTGTGTGTGTGTGTGTGTGTGTGTGTGCCGGTTATATAGTGCTAACCCACTGATGAACAATGCCGCAGTTCACCACTGATACCCTACTCATTAAACTGACACCGAGCCGACAAATAAAAATAAAGTTATTGACGTCATTTATCGTGGCAAATACAGCTAGATCACGGAACAGATGTCAGCAGTCAGGAACACCGAATTACACATCAGTTATCACACTAAGCTAGTGTGTCATATGTATTCAATCTAAACGATCTGGACATCCTGTTACAAAACACATTTATGTAAAATATCTTACCGCCACCTGATGCTATTCTCGTTTTCCTCACGCACGTTGACCAGCTTCCTTTCTTTAAGAGAGAATAGCACGCTCGCACAATGCATTACTCAGTTCCAGTAATGCATTAACCTATACGCGTCTTGCCAATTACCTTAGTACGAAGATTGACAGTTTCCATCCTCCATCGATCAGTCCTATTGACAATTTGTGTCGTTAACGATATAATCAGGATTGGCATTAATTCGACAAGTTCAATTGTTTGACCAGAATGTTTGTATTGTAACCCCCAGGAGCATGGCACCTTCTACAAAGCATCCGGTAGTCTGAGAAAATGCCACTTGCAGAAACAATATGCTTCATAGCAGTGCATTCCTTTGGGGACAAGGCAAGGTATATTATTTGACGTTCTGATTTGAGAGGAATAACACGATATGCAGTTTAAACTAAAGTTTATTTTCATATTTGTAGTGCAGTTCGCACATTTGAATACACAAAGAACGGCCCAGTTGGATTATGTGACATCGACTGATGGCGATGCTGCGAGGGACGTCCCACAAGTGGACCAAGATGGAAATCTATCTGATTTGATCCAACCTATAGTTGAGAGCAGCCATAGTGTTAACGACAGTAATGATGGGTGTCATGCCAAGGGAGATAATCCTGTTATCACAACCGGAAATGGAAAATTTAACAACACGACTTCAACCGGAAACGCCCCGCCAAACTCTTTCGCAAATGGACTTGTATCCCCTGGTACGTACAGAAAGGTGTCGAGTGTTTCTTCTAATTTCACGATTCCGATTCTTGTCATTGCCCTTTTGTGCAACCTTTGTTCAGCGGTAGTGTACGTGGCCCCCGAGTTGAGGAGCGTGACCAGCATTTACCTCGTGTTCCTGGCTTGCACCGGTCTCGTGTACGTTGTGTGTGTGCTGATTCTTGAAATCACAAGCGCTGTATTTGGTGACTCCGCTATCCACACGGAACTTTATCTCACGATGGTGATATACCTTGGGAACTACATCGGCCTGTGCTGTAGACGTCTCGCGTATTGTGTGACGGCCCTGGTGTCCCTGGAACGGTTGATCGGCATTGCTTTCCCTCTGAGAGCTCGGCAGTTTCGAGCCCTGAAATCACCCCAGGTTCTCCTTCCAGTCACAGCAGCTGGTCTGATGTGCTACCACATTTTCAGTCCTTTGAAATTGAGAGTAATTCCATCATCCGACAGTAACAGCAACAGCAGCAGCTTCACTATGGCTGTGACCACTTTGTACCTTGAAAACGTGAACACATTCGAGATTGTAGGAATTGTTGGAAGTGTCTTCTTTGTGTTCCTGCCTCTTATTGCATGTCTTTTGTTCAACATCCTGATCATCACATGCCTAAACAAGCACTCAAAGAGGAGGCGTTCTATCAGCAACAGTTTTGACAACAGAAGTGTGTATCAGAGTGAGCGACAGACAACCATCACGCTCATCGTCTCCACCTTCATCTACGTCGTACTGAACCTCCCCGTTAACGTCAGCTCCGTCGTGAGCTACACCGTGCCCGAATATGGCCTAGGACAACGCGAGCATTACCTATTTCTTCTGATGAATGTTGTTGGCTACATCTGTGAAATCAACAGCAACATCACCAACCTTTTCTCCTACCTCTCTCTGAGTTCCAGGTTCAGACGTGTTCTCGTTCGTAAGATCTGTTCGTGCAAATACGTTTCAAGGTCACCAAGGGCACATAATTATGTTCCCAACCGCAGGGCTTGATGAGATCGACTACTCACGTGTCAGCCAGCTGCAGCCTGACAGCCCTTCCCAAGTCCCATGACGCCGGAAAATCACTGGCAACTGTTTCCGAAAATATTTAATCTTGACCAACATGATTTACAATCTCCTCTATAGCATTAGCAGTCTAACATAGACCAGATAAGTACATTTTTGATGGTCATAATCTTTGTAATAGTCAGTGTGCCTAGAAATAAGACCGTCAACATAGGTAATTCAAGAAAACGTTAATGTGACCTAGAATTGGGCGTAAGACACCCTTTTTTTATTTGTCTTTATAACATATTTGTTTGAGAGGAAGACGACTGTTGATTTTTTGTATGTATTCGAATTGACTCAAACGTTGTGTCAGCGAATAGGTCCAACATATTTAACATCAAAGACTCGTGATGCTCCGTAAAGGTCCAACATATTTAACATCAAAGAATCGAGATGCACTGTAAAGGTCCAACATTGTAAGGTTCTCATTACAATTATATCTAAACTGCCGGGCAAAAGAAAGTATGCACCCATGTGTCATGGTGGCAAAAACCACGAAAAGGACAATAAATGTTTATGTGTTTGGTGCGGGAATCATAGTTGTGCTTTGGACCTTAAGCTTGCAGGGTATTCAGCCAAGTATCGTTTTGATAACGTGTTACATTTTTTAAGTGTGTACTCTCTTTTGCCCTACAATTTTATATATATATATATATATATATATATATATATATATTATACGGCTTATCTTTGGACTTGTATTCATATATCTCAATTATATCTATCTACTTTTGTCATTTATTCTTTTATTTGTATTTAAATCCTTTTTGCAACATCATGTTAGTACATTAAAGTGTATTATCGTTTACAAGGTATTTCTAATATGTTTCTACACATGTGTAGCTTATCTGATTTAACGTATTTGTAAGTCAGTGTGTTACCTCTAACCTAACATAGTGACACCGACGCTGGTCAGAACAGGTGATGTTTTATCAGAAAAAGAACATAAGGTTTGATTCAACGACTCTCATTTTCGTGAAAAAAGAGTTTTAACACACTATATTCCATTGTATATAGCGGCGTTCTTTAGGATGATCTACAGGCCATATTTCACTGTTTGTGGATTTTAATCCATTGTATATCCCTTTTGTTGTTCGGGGGTTTCGCCAAAGTGGCAAACGTCTCGTATCTACGTCACTTGGGGTTCCGTTCCAAATATGGAAGAAACGCCGTGATAACTGAAAGTGCCTCAGGGCCCCGTTCCACAAAGCGCTACGATTGTTTTGTTTGATTGTTTGTTTAACGCCGAACTCTGTAATGTTCCAGCTGCGTGACGGCGGTCTGTAAATAATCGAGTCTGGACCAGACAATCCAGTGAGAAGAAGGCATGCAGCAACAGGTGTCAATACACTGTATTTTGCCACATACACCTGTCAGGGCCTTTGATATTTTCCTATCGCAGATAATTGCAGGAAACCTTTACGTGGCGTTACGTAATGTTACGCCATGTTACGTAATGTTACGTCGTTTAAATAATGGCTGCTATGTCTAAGAGCAAACGTTAAAGATTAACTAATTTAACATGTGCCTATGATAGCAGCAGTTTATTTTGTTTTCTGTTTGTTGTTTAACGCAGCACTCAGCAATATTCCAGCAAAATGACGGCGGTCTGTAAATAATCGAGTCTGGATCAGACAATACAGTGAATGACATCATGAGCATCGATCCACGCAATTGGGATACGATGACATGCATCAACCAAGTCAGCAAGCCTGACCACCCGACCCCCTTTAATCGCCTCTTACGACAAGCACAGTCGCCTTTTACGGCAAGCATGGGTTGCTGAAGACCTATTTTTTCCCCGGGTCCACTACGATTGTCGTAAGTCTATGTTAAAATATGGGAGTTACGATCGTCTTGGCTACAAGATTGCTCTGGAGCCCGGCCCAGGTCATCAATTGTTGAGTGCATACATTCACTCAGTCAATATTCTTCAGATTCTTTAATTCTCAGTCCGCCTCCTAGGTCTTGTGGGAGAGAGTGTCTGCCTGAAGAACGGAACGTGGATTGTTCGATACGTTTAGAGATAAATCTTGTTGTTACCCTGCCTGGTGCTCGGCAGTAAGGGGAGAAAACAAGGACTGGTTGGCTCGGGGTCAGTATACTGTGTCTGAGTGGGGTATTCATGTCACAACCGCGCCATGTCAGCGGGCTTTTAACACGGTATTAGTCCGGATAAGCACACACACACACACACACACACACACACACACACACACACACACACACACACACACACACACACACACACACACACACACACACACGCACTCACACACACTCTCACACACACACACACACACACTCTCTCTCTCTCTCACACACACACTCTCTCACGCACTCACACCCACACACTCACTCTTACACACCCACTCTTACACACACACTCACTCACACACAGACACTCTCTCTCTCACACACACACACACACACACACACAAATCGTGTATGTACATTGCTGTGTTAGTGCAATTATCCTGAACGCGACGTCAAACCGCATTTCACATCACCCCTTTAATTATTCAACGCGAGTTTGGCATTCGATTGATTACCGACGGAAGCAAGTATATTTTATACAAGCCATATGTAAAAGGAAAAAGGTAGTGCACGTTTGAAGCTTATCGTGAAAACAAAAGGGAGTTTCCGTTTGTGATTGTGTTACCGAGCGCGTGCTTTTGTTGAAAACAACGTTGAATCATTCACGTTGCCGGATCGAAATCCATTCTATCAATCTATTGATTGAATGTAATCATTCGAAGGATTGGCACGACGCATTTATTACTGTCTCAATCAATGCCTGAACATATCAGTTTGCATGACAAGTCAACCTACTTGTCCGGTGGAGTTGACAGATTGTGAGGATTTAACCAATGGGGGTAGCTGTGTCATCGAGTGTATGCTAAACGAAAGAACAGCCTAAATGGCACCGGTTGCAGTACTACGTGTCGATTCCCAAATTAAAACAATGTGTTAACCCAGAAATCTATACGTAAAAGAACTTAGTATAAAACCAATAAACAACCAACAAGTGGTATACAATCAACCGTATTACAAAATTAACAAGGTTTACAGATCAATACAAATGTTTGCACAGCAATTACAATGGCACTACACAATAGAGCGGTAGTACAATATTCAATGGCACTACACAATAGAGCGGCAGTACAATATTCAATGGCACTACACAATAGAGCGGCAGTACAATATTCAATGGCACTACACAATAGAGCGGCAGTACAATATTCAATGACAGTAAAATTATAATGGCAGTGGGCAGTATCAAATACAAATACAGTGGTGATAGCCAAAGTCAGTGATAATAATATATATTCACCCAGCGGCGACAGTGGTCAAGCTTCTGAGACGGGCTAGGCAGGGAATCAGGGACGATGAGCGATCCTCACATGAAAAAAACTGGTTCCGAAGCGATGAAAATGCGTGGGAGATCCATAAACACGCTCTTGTATAGTCTTACCAGACACTGGGAAGTTCCACATGTTTCGAAAACATACTACCACCGTCCGCTGAATACCGGACCGGACACACCACACTAACATCTGAATATAATAACTTCCTGACGACTTATCACAGCCCAAACCCGAATCTCAACAAACACAAAGTAACACCGTTACAATCACTGTTTAACAACACAATACACTGCCATATAACAGTAGGCATTAACTGTAATGACCAATGATCCAAGTCGGGAATAATCTGAGATTCGAACCCTGATCAGCTGCTTATATTTGCATGGCCAGGGAGTTCAGGTCTTCTCTGCCCTTCGAATCCCTATCGCAGATTCCGATTCAGCAACCCATGCTTGCCGTAAAAGGTGACTATTCTTGTCGTAAAAGGCGACTAACGGGATCGGGTAGTCAGGCTCGCTGACTTGGTTGATGCATGTCATCGATCCCAATTGCGTGGATCGCTGTTCATGATATCAATCACTGGATTGTCTGGTTTAGACTCGATTATTTACAGACCGCCATCATATATAGCTGGACTGTTGCTGAGTGCGGCGTCAAACAACGAACCAACCAACCAACTACCGCAATGACATACCGTACCTTGTCAGCATGCTGGCGGGACAAAACGTTTTGACCATGTGGAAAATGCGTCCGACTTAAAATCAGAACGTTCCATCACCTCGGGTTCGGAAATGTTATGACTGAGTTAGGCGTGCGTGCGTGCGTGCGTGCGTGCGTGCGTGCGTGAGTGAGTGAGTGAGTGAGTGAGTGAGTGAGTGAGTGAGTGAGTGAGTGAGTGAGTGAGTGAGTGAGTGAGTGAGTGAGTGAGTGAGTGAGTGAGTGAGTGAGTGAGAGAGAGAGAGAGTGAGTGAGTGAGTGAGTGAGTGAGTGAGTGAGTGAGTGAGTGAGTGAGAGAGAGAGAGAGAGAGTGAGTGAGTGAGTGAGTGAGTGAGTGAGTGAGTGAGTGAGTGAGAGAGAGAGAGAGAGAGAGAGAGAGAGAGAGAGAGAGAGAGAGAGAGAGAGAGAGAGAGAGTGAGTGAGTGAGTGAGTGAGTGAGTGAGCGAGTGAGACTCAGTCGGATATGATGGTAATATGACTGTTAACCTCCCAGCGCCTTAAAGGCAGCTTGGGTTTTCAACTTTCGAGAGAGCTGGGAATACAAATCCAGTGCACACTGATCCATCGACCGTATTTAGATATGCACATTAATAACGCGGCTTTGAGCATTATTCTTGTCATGTCATATTCTACCATGTCAGGAGGAAAGTACAAATTTCCGATGGTTATAAAGGCTTAACATTAGGACGAACGCATAAGTGTTTGGTGTTTGCAAACAAAGGTCATAACAGGGTGAATCAGCGGATCCTGGCATGGCTAAGGGGCGCAACTCTGCACAGCTAGACAATGCGTGCCTCCTTCAACAGAGAAAAACTGCAGTAATGAAGTCAGCGTTGCACCTATATCACTGTGCTCTAT